CCATTGCCCCAGGTGGCCCCAGCCACATCCCGAGCAATCTTCTCCCGCCAGCTGCTCAAGTCCACTGCTCAGAGAAAGAAATAAAAGAGGTCCCACTAAAGTCACTGCGTACGGTGGGACAAACTTCCCTGCACAGCTGAGGTCACTAGCATCCTCTGGAATCATAGAGTGCCAACCTGTACAACTTCAAGCCAGAGAATCCCAGCCTTCATTTGACCCCACTCTGGAATCATGTGCATTTTGGTCTGAGTTTCTAAAGAGTTCATGGAAGATGTAAGGTAACAAAGCCAATGTGGCTCCTGCTTACCTTGTGCCTGTCTGCTCCTTATTTCATCCCTCTGCATATCTATAATAGAGACTGACTTCCAGAAAGATGAGCAAAATGACTCCAAGCCTCGGGTCTCGCCTGTGAGCTCCCACCTCCCCCCACTCCCCCTCCAACAAGCACATACCTTTTCCCACAGTGATGGCTTCACCGGCTCTCAGCAATTGCTCTGGCCCCAAGGCTCGAGTCCATCCTCTTCCCCGCCTCCGACTCTTCTTCAAGACTGAGATGAGATGGCACCAGAGGATTAGCAAATGGGCTTCTACAGCCCATCTCTCCCACCACCTTTGGGCCCAAGATCAAGTTACCCCTGGCCAGTAAGCTTCTCTGCTCTTCCCTTTGTCCCCTGCCACCCATTTCTTCCATAATATATTCCTCCTTGCCCACTCACCACTACTAGGCTCTTGAGGAGTTCGAGGGTCCCGAGGGAAAGAAGTGAAAAGGACGATGTGGAGCTGGGGACAGTATTGGTGGAAATAATGCTTCCAGGCAACCACGAGAGCTGGTGGGGCCAGATCCACCTTGTTCAAGACCAGCACCAAGGCCAACCCAAGTTCTCCAGTCACATACTCATAAAGTGCTGGTGGGAAATTCACAAACTAGGACAAAGTAGTTAAGGGAATAGAGTGAAGAGAGATCCACCCAGAGATCTCTGCCTCCAGCTCCCCACTCACAAGGCACAGCTCCCAGACAAGACCCTGGCAGTAGCAGATTCTGGAGTAAAAACAGTAAACCAGCCAAACTGAACGAAAAAGACAAAGCAGGGGTTAGTAATACCTGTGCAAGTCTCATGGAGCTTCCTAGAAGAGGTCATGATTAAATATAAAAATCAATGAAAGATATGAAAAGGAAATAGCAACACCTAACATACTGAAATAAAGGCTAGGATCAAAACAGGAATGGAGGTTGAGGTAGAAAGTAATACCTGTTTTTGTGTGCAAAAATCTGTACAAGTGGGTAGACATGCATACAAGCATGCATGCAGGTATGTGCACGTGTGATGTGCTCAGTATGAATGACTGTGAACATGAATGTGTGAATGTGCTTGTTTATATGGATGTACACATGCACACGTGTATTTGTATGTGCGTGTAGGTTCATTTAGAAACTCCAACCTAAAATGTCCTCTACAGACCTTCCTCTTTCTAATGAAGGACAACAGTGAAGTGGCAGAGTCAGGATTCACAGCAGCAGTCTATGGCCTTAACCACTACCCTAGCATTCCAGGTGGATTCTGTAGCAAT